TTATTTATTCAGTCCTCTCCCAAGGACTATCAGATATAATAAACTGCATAAAACTGTTTGAATTTTCCTTCCATTTCCTTTATGGGTTGCTATTTGAAGTGTATACAGAAACTTCACTGTTTTTAGGTATTAATTCAATGAAAACAGAGGTAAGCCCAAATCAAACTAACTACTAACATGTTCCTGAGTCTGTAAAATACTATTAAAATTTTGAGAGAAAATACTGAAAACCACCCTGGTATGAACAGCTCTTGGACTAGTGTCTAATTGCAATTTCCAGGACAGTTCTTATGGAGCTGAATACTGAATGTAACAGAACAGGTAAAATTCATCAAGTTTTGAACACCTCTATTCATTTGTGCTTACATTTTTATTTTATAGAGAACCTTATTTTCATCTTGGAAAACTTCTACTATATTAAGCCCCCTACAGTGATGACCCTAATCTTTCTTGATAGATAAACCAGAAAATCAGCCAAAACTATTTGGAGCTGATGATAAATGTTATTGTACAGATCATGAATGGCAGTCTTCATTCCAGTCCTAAAAGCAGCATCTTCTTTTTGGAAGAAAACATTTCTACCACAAAATCTCTTTGGCAACAGCATATCCAGCAGAATCCAAGTTATTATTTGCTAGAGTTATTTTACATAAAAATAGAAAAATATTGCTTTTCTTTGAAAACTCTCTTAATGCTGACTTCAAATGCTAATGTCTCAGTGTGTTCATACCTATCAGTGGAGTGAAGACAAGGGAGTCTTCACTGGAACATGAGGGTGTGCTCTGATGGTGCAACAATGTTCTGACCACAGAATGATGTGTAAAAATCGAATTTTGACAAGATCTCACATCTCCCTTGAGTTCTCCCTCTCCTTGTTGCTTCCCCCAGAAGTGCAGCTTAACAGCTCTCCAGGCACTTGTTTAGATGTACAAAGTAGCCTCAGGCATGAAATGCTTCAGAATGAAGTTCTTAGCCTTCGGTACAAAGCTGTTCTTTGAGGTGTGGCCAGTACATCAGTTACTCTAGAAAAATATAAATTCTGCTTTTTTCTGCAAGTGCAAGGTTCTATCTGTGATGCAAGACCCAGGGAAATAGCTAATAAAATCAAAACCAGATATGGGAATGAGATTCCTCACACACTCCCCACTGACAGAATACACCCACACCGGGTGAATCAGATGAGTGATTCTAGCCCAGTCTCTGTGAAGCTGCATCCGAGGGAATCCAATTCTGGTCATGTTGAAAAAGCTGTAATGTGGATTCTCAAATTCAAGTAAGGAAAGAGTGCTTTATTTAGTAAGAACAGCAGCAGAGTGAGAGGAAACAACTGCACATTCACACAGCAAGTAATTCAGTGACCCTTAGACACACAGATTTTGATCTAGAAAACAATGTAAGAAAGCGAATGGATAGAATACAGGTGCTGCTTATTTCTAAAGATTAGAAGGAGAAATCTTGCTCTCAGGTAACTCCAGGCATTGCTGGCCCTGCTATTTTGAGCTGCTAAAGAAAACCCAACTGAGAGAATATGACATCTCAGTGGAAGTAGTCACTAAACCAAAAATCAGATGGAGAAGAAGAAAGAATAAACAAGCGCCTGCAGCAGTCTGGGCACAGACTAAAGGAAGTGTTACTAACATGACAGATCATTCTGCAGTGAATGTTCTTAGCAGCACATACCCCACAGAGGATGCTCATTCCCAATTGCTGTGTAATACATGGTCCCATAGGATGCAAGACAGCAGCAGGACTCCTAAAGCTCACGGTGCGCAAGCACCACATTGTTCTTGTGCCCAGGGGAAGGTAATGCTGCCTGGAGTCAGCTGTCTAGGAGCACCACCAGTGCAGTTTTCCCTGGAGCAGAGGGGATGTGAATGGAAGTGTCCCCTGGGAAGTGGGGCAGCAGCCACAGGGACTGCCTGGGAGCGAGGGCCCTCACCCCTCTCTCTGCCTGTGGTGAGGGATTGTTTTTCTGCTGGACACCCCTGAGGGATTCTTTGGCCCTTTGGCTGGAACAGCCTGATCTGCCCGCGGCTCTTGAGTGGGAGGTGTCCGTGTGTGTGAGGAGCTTTGGGCCACCATTCCTGTCTGTGCAGTAACTGTATCCTGGGCACAGTGAACCTGGAACCTGGGAGCACCATCATGGATACATCTTTTTTGCAAGTTTTGGCCACAGAATTTGTTTGTGAATTAAAGTTTGTCCAAGTTTTTTATCTGTGTGAAGCTGTTTTCCTGTACCTCCATGACATCAGTACATAGTTCAGGTAGAGGATGACAACCCCCCCCTGTTTGTTTATGTTCTTTTGCCCTGAGAAGCAATTCTGACCATGTGACATTCAGGTGCAGCAAGAACTACTGATTAATCTCTCTGATAGTCTAGATAGCTGTGATTAGCCAAATTGACTACCCAAGCCTGCTGTCTGAAAACATCTATTATTGGAACTCAGATGGAACTGAGGAGCTTATTTCTTGTAAGGGACTAGAATTGCAAGTGCATCTGCAAGTATGTGTTTGTGAGACAGACTAAAAAAAGGCTTATTACTCACTGCAAACAGAGGAACACAGCTGAGTGGAGGAAAAAGGACCATTTCATCCCGGTGCTAAAACCCGCATTCCTATTGGCTTTTTCAAATGGTGACACCTAGTTTGATTTTTTAATTAAAAAGGAAAAAGTCCATTTAAAATAGGAGATAAATCATAGTCATTCAAGACAAATGTTGAATATTTGCTCCTAATTTTCACCTTCAGTTCCATATTCATTATCAATTATGGTGAATATGGTTGAGTGATTATACATTGAAGCCAAATTGCCAAATTCTACCCATTTCTTATGGTCAGAAGGCATGATGAGGAGCTGAAGCACTTAACCCTGAATGTTTATTATGTTTAAATACATTTATGTGCAGTGATGTCAATACACATGAAATTCGATAAATTTTGGAAAAAAAAGTTGTAAATGTGTACATACATTTGCATTTGTGTGTGTCTCTATATATAAGATATTCATACACAAAGTCACAGATGTTCTATGAAATGTCACGTGTTGTACACAGGTAGAGATACTATAAAAGAAAAGCTATATAAAATACAGTTTAGGTCCTGCTACTCTAGCTAAACAAGCATCTGCCTTTAAGTTCCCATGTGAAAAAATCAGAGGAATGAGAATCAGTTTGCATAACAATCTGTTCTTGTAGAGAAAAATAGTTTACACCTGTAATAACAAAAGATCTGTCCCATGAGAATCCATCAAGAAAAAATGTGAACACCTGTAGGAAGAGAGAGTACACACACACAAGCACCTTCTAACCAATGGATTGTGTGGCAAGAAAGTTACTAACCAGTCAAACACTGTGGGAATGCAGCTGGAGAGACATAGTACTGCTCAACTGTGACAGAAGTGCATGTGCTAACTCTAGCAGGCCACAAGCCCCTGGAAAAGAAAGCAGAACCCTGAAGCAAGAGGTAACGGTGTGCTGTGTGGTGTGCTTGCTTTGTAAGAAGTCATGCAAGACCCTACATGCCTATGTGGGTTTGTGCAAAGCTATGATTAAGCAGTGTTACTAGGAAACATAAATGTTGTTATCAGTGCTATTTTTAGCTATAGTTGATACTGAGCTTTTGGAATCAATAAATCGACTTCATGCATGCAAACCATGGAGTCCCCGTCTCTTTGATCGCCCAACAAAACACGACGTCTTTGAAATCTGTATAAATATGATCTTTACGAATAAAGAACTGGCTTTTCCTGCATGAAGAAACTGAGTCCCGTTTGCTCATTATTGCGACAGTCACACACAAAGCTCTGTGCTCAGCTGTCAGTCCAATCCCACCATTCCAAGCCGACTGCTGCAGCCCTGGGCTGTGACCATCAGCTGACCTGATGTGAACATCAGTGTGCTGATGAGGAGTCAGAGATGAGGGCAGTTATCTCTCTGTTTGCATGTTCAGTTATGTGTCTGCCAAGGCTGTGTTTTGGGCTTCATTTATTCTATTTAATCTTCCCTATTAAAGTTCAAACTGAGATCACCATCCAGATCAAGGCAGGTAATGATAAAGGGATAGCTGTGAGCATTACATGTAAAACTGGTTTTTCAGATACATGGACAAGTGAGAAAACAAAATCATTGCTTGTCTAGATAATGGATACTAATTTTAAGTTCCCAGGAGGATTCTGGAACAGTATTTGTTTTAGTAGTGCCAAAACTATGGGTAAGCAAATTCTGAAACAAGTACATTCTTAGTAACAAATCTGCAGTGAGGAGATACCTCAGTTCTGAAGAATACAGTAAAGTGGAATGACTTGCTCATAAAATCCCTTAGAAAAGCTGACCCTAGAGCAAAAATATTATTTCAGTTTACATAAACAAACAAACAAATAAATAAATAATATGAAAGAGATAAGACAGACTTAAATGGACAGTTGCATATTAATTCCACCCCCAGTGTAATGCTACAATTCTCTGCTGAAGAAAATATCTACCTATCTCAGGCTGGAAAACCCTGATAATCTCTTTATGAGGAAAGCTGAAGACTGTATACGCAGCAAGGCTTAACAAGGCCATGAGTATCACAGCAGGGTAGAAAGGTAGATTGGTCTATCTGGAGCAAGACACAGAACTTACGGAAATACTGATGTGCAAAAAATTAGCTTTATTAGACTAAAATTTTAAGAATATGTAAGCAATGAAAGGATTTGAGTTGTTCTTCATAAGTGTCCTCTTTATACTGTGGCCAAACAAAAGAAAGCTTTCAATTTTAGAAGCATCTTTAACAATTATTATTTTTAACTGCATCAAAAGATAAAAATGCAAGGAAAGAAAAACATTTTAAAAACAAACATTGCAAAACATGACATCACATAATGGAAAACCTTTTATTAATTTGAAGGGTATAAACGTAAAAGCAAGAGGAACCTTTTAAAAGCTTCATTTAAAAGAAATATTTAGAATACTTCAGTAGTCATTCCACCTGAATGCTAATATAAGATGAGGGCTAAAAGCTTGTACAAAAAGGTATGTTTACTAAATGGATACATTGATCACTGAACTTTACACAGCATTAAATTTTAATGACCTTCAGTGATTTGAGAGGCCTTAGTTGTTTATGTAAGAACTGTAAAAAAACCTATGGATTTACATTTACAGACTGTTTATCTCTTCGTAAATGACAACATTTTAGAAAGAAATTGAACAAAACCAGAAAAAATTGCCTCTGATCAACGCTAATGGCCATCTTGTGTAAGTCAGTAAATACATCAAAACTGGAGTTGTAAGCTTTTTTGTCCTGCTCATCTGAGAGGGAAGGAAGCAAAACATACTTTTAACAGACTCTGTTGTTCTTGCTCTTCATTTGAAGGTCCAGCATAACTTGAAGGGCCTCATTAAGTGTCACTGGCTCAGCACTGAGTATTGAACAAACCAAGAGCATTAAAATACTCAGAGCCTCTGACTAGGACTGAGCAATCAGACAAAGCACATGGACAGAAGAGAGTGTCAAGGGCCAGAACAGTCAAAATTATTCCAATTACTAACTCAAAGCCAATTCAAAGTTTGCTGTGGAGAAATGTGGGTTCTTGATTTTCAGGGTGAATATTCCAAGACTTTACTAATTCAAAAGGTAGAACTATCTTTCTGACATAGTTGGATATGGCCACATTCCTAATTCCTCAAAACCTCTCCCACAACTAAAGAACTTGTAAGCAGTTCACTTAGCCTGGGAAGAAGAAAATTAATTTTTAGTCTGACTAATATATTGAGAAAAGAAATAATCTTACTTTGAGTATCTGCAACACTGCAGGATATTTGCACCATTCTGCTCCCCAGCTAATTTTGTTACTTATATTGTTTCTGTACATCACTTGTCCAGGGGATATACACGTGCATATCCATTTAATGTGCCAGAGCTCCCAGCTAATTATTTGAGAAAGCTAGTTCATGAAAAAAACTGAATAACAAAGAAAAGAAATAATGTGGGGTTTTTTTGTGTTTTGTTTTTCAGTTGGTTGGGGCTTTTTGGTTGTTGTTGTTTTGGGGTTTTTATAAATTAGGAGTAGTGGACAGACTAGAGACCAAAATCCTGACAATGCTGGTTTTCATTTCAGACAGTCCATACCTGAAGTGATATTAGTTCTGCCCTCTTCTACCAACACCACACTGAAGGCCACCCCTTGGTCTTCTCCGTGCTGTTTCTGGGGTGCTCCACGCAGACTGGCACTGAACAGAGCCAGCGTCTCGTACTGGCACTGTTTGGTCCAGACTTATGGGATGCTCCTTGGCTCTGGGCTGCAGATGGAAGAACGTGCTGTGTCCAAATTTATTTTTGAAATGATATCGTTGCAGTTGAACTGCTTTTTTTGTCTTGAAGTCCTTTAGACTTTAAAAGAGTAAGACCTCTTTTGTACCTCGGGCAGTCTGCAAATTACAAATAAAATTACAGCTATTGTTGAAATTGCAGATTCCAGTTGCACATGTTTTTAAAATTACACTTTAGCTGACTGTATTTAGAAGTCTTTTCAAAAATGTAGATTTTTTTAATGTACTACAATGTAATTGCTGTTTTTCAAAAGGTAAACCATCAATATAACTTTGAAAAAATAGTCTGGGGATTTAAATGCTTTTAGACTGCAGATAAATATAAGAAAAGAATGAACAGATAAATAAACTACTAGCATACTACACGAGTTATCTGATGCCAAAAAACTTACTCAAATAAACAATTCACTGAATTCAAAGAGGTTTTTTGTGGAAAGTAGTACTCTTTATAATAACAAGGGTCCAGAGATTCCTACAGCTGCTACATGCCATTTTGCAAACATTAGCATGCCCCTACCACAGACTTTAATGAGGTCCACCCACAGGAAAGCTGAATTAATGCTTTATGAAAGTAGTGTATACCCATATTTTTCTTTAATGCCCAATTTTATGATACTGAAGTGTTATCTATATTGCTACTATAGGCAATATAATGCAAATAAATATAAAAACTCAATGTGGAAATGAACAAGTTCTGTTAGATTTTTTTTAAAAAAATAATATTTCAGTAAAATGAAGTCAGTTCCTAATGAAAATAACAAAATAAAAGGCTGATGTTTGGATTAGTTTTATAATTGGACTTTAAGGCAAATATTGCAATTACTTTTCCAACAACATGCTGTGTTTTCTGGTGAAAAACTTCCCATCTTAAATATCCTTATTTAAAATCAATTCTTCTCATTTCCTCAGAGGAGGAAATTGATCTATTTAAAAATCTATGCTCAAAATGCTTTCTTGTTAATATTTCTTCTCTATTGGAAATAATAACTTTCTATCTAACCAGTAATGGAAGTTTAGATTTTACTTAAAAAAACCCAACTGTCAACTAAAATTCTTCTTCTCAATTGACCTTACCCCAGAAAACACAACTGGAATGTGAAATGTAGGCTTTCAAATCTCTAAATGGGCATTTTTGAAATTTTTGAAAGCCCCACATTGCAGAAGAGGAATGATAATTGCTATCACGGTATAGTGAATAAACAAAAGCAATATGCAATTAATTAATTGGAAAAAAAATCTGCAATATTGCTGTTGCCATGAAAATTTATTCTTGAGTAAATTTTTTATAATGCAAGGTTGTACAAAGGCTGCGTAAGAAATGTGGCTCCAGGCTACAGCCTGAGCTCTCAAGCACAGATCTTTTAAACATAGGTTCAAAGATTAACTATTTAATGTCAATATACTTCTTAAAATATCTTCTATTGCATGGAATGGCACGGCAACAAAGATGAAAATTAGCTGCATATTTCTGGAATAATATTGTTTTTTCCACCACTGCACAAACTCCTCTTTTAATAAAACAAGGATTTTAGCTAAAAGTTCACCATGACATGAACTACCTCAAACTTCAGAGCTGTTTAAATCTAAATTTAGAGGTTCCATTTTTTAAAACTATGAGAAAATAATAAATTTATGAAGTCTATGAAAACATAATGCCGTACTCTTGACTGTCTTTGCAAGATTCTGATGAGATCTAGATTTAGAACGAAAAAATCACAAATTAAATGTTTGTTGTTGTAGTGGATCACGAATTAGAACAATTTCCATGGCAACCCCTTTAGTCTTCTTTCAGGAAAGATTGCAACGTTTTGTTTGCTCCTAATTTAAAATGCAATCTGTTGCCTGCTACCACATGAATAATTTCTTCAATACGTTGTGAAAAAAAATCCCCAAAACTCAAACCAAACCAGTGTCTTCAATAAGTCATGCCACAGGTGTAAAAAAAGCCCAAGAATTACACAAACCCACCATATAACTAGCAGATAACATATTTACAAAATTTATGCTTGTAGAATACGTTCTGCTTTTCATTTGGAATTTTGTTTGGGGAAGCTGGATCATGTGTGAAGAGCGAGTAAGACAAGCTCCGCTAGAGAAGGTTTGGGAGCTACCTCTCATTGTAGCAATTCAGAACACCGTCAAGCTCCTTGCTCCACCGCCGGGACCAGAACACACTTCACCCCAGCGCCTTTTCTCCACACCTCGCTCGCCGCTCAAGGTCCCTCCCGTCCCCCTCAGCACGGCAGGCCCCAAGCCCCGCCCACCTCGCCCGAAGCCCCGCCAATCCCGGCCCGCCTTTCTCTGCTCCGTCCAATCACAGCCGCCCTTTCAACCGGCCCGCCAAACTCTGCCCGCTCAGCCCCGCCCCTCAGCCCGGCTCTCCTGAGGCGCAGCTCCAGCTCCCGCCGTTGCCGCTTCTAAAGCCGGCGCGACCGCGCTATGGCAGCCCCGGCAGGTGCTGCTGGGGCCCGGGAAGGGCTGCCGGCGACTCCCGTTCATGCCGCGGCCGGGACCTCTCCCGGAGGAAGGAGAGAGTGGGGCCTGAGGGGACAGCCGGATTCGGGGCGATGAGGGGGGCGGGAACC